GGTGGGGGAGGGTGGACGGCGGTGGGGGAGGGTGGACGGCGGTGGGGGAGGGGGTCTCGGCACTGCCTAGGCTCACCCCCGGCCCTGGGTTGGCCAGACGACTCGCCCCCTCGAACCTAGCCTCTCTCGTTCCGGTTTCCTACTCTCAGGAGCCGAGATTTAGCGCTGGGAGGGGCAAGTCTATCCATTATAAAGACGAGGGTCCGGGGCACAGCGCCCTGAAGCTAGAATCGCTCCCCTCCGGCCACCTCGAGTTCCTTAGACGGCTCGGACTGGAGCCGCTCTGATCAAGTTTCCTCCTTGCCTCGGACAAAGACACCTTCATCCCCCTCCTGTCGCCTGCCACGCAGTCCGATCTACAAGCGTCCGGGACACAAGACGCCGTCGAGCCCTCTGGATCGGGGGTGAGGGGGGCACACTCTGCTCCCCACGTTTCCCTCCCCGCTCCATCCGCCTTCGGAGCGCAGATAACGGCGCACGCACCTGGGGCTCACTACAGAGAGCTACACACACACACACACACGCACACACACGCACACACACACGCACACACACGCACGCACACACACACACACACACACACACACACACACACACACACACTGCGCGCGTCTGGGACCGGACTGGCATAGGTATAGGACACTCCAACTCGCTTTACCAATTTAAATCTGCTGCTGACAGTCCTAGAAACCCTAGGACTACCCCTAGTTAGGGGTTAACTATCCACTGTCACACAACCAGTCGGAGTCATGGGGCCAACTCTCTCCACCATTTCATTCTGTCTCTCCATATACCATAATACGGTGATAGGAATTGGACCTGTATTTGCAGAGATGACCAAGAAGACAGGGAAACGCCCTCTACTGGGCAGGTCCGCACCTTACAATCTAGGTGAGCTCTGAGGTTAGTGACTAGATCAGGGTCACACAGACAAGATGGCCACTGCCTGGCTTCAAGGCCAGCTCTCCAGGCATCACTCCCCCCTGCCTCTCTCTACGAAAGAAAATGCCGGTTCAACTTGCCGATGGTTTCAGATAATTTTTTTTTTTTCTTGTTTGACCTTTATAGCAACCCTGTGCTGGTGAGTTTGTACGTTGCTTAACAAAGAACCTGGCATGCAGTTTGGGTGCTTAATACACGCTTGTTGTTTGGTTAATGCCGGGATCATTTCCCATATTTCACACTTGAGGACAGTGAGCATCTAAGGATCCAGGAGATCCAGACCTGACTAGTTCAGGCATTTTACCCCCCACCGCTCACCATAAGGTCCTCCAGACATTTTGCCCCTGCTTCTTCAGGATGTGAGTGTCAACGCAACTGGGGCCTGCGCTTTCCCGATTGAAAGACGACTCAATCCAACCCTGGGTGGCCCCTCTATAACCTGCCATGCCCCCGGCTGAGCCCCAGCGGCACCTACTGCACCCCACCACCCCCTTTCCACTTTTCACTCAGGAAATAATAATCAAGTTAACATTACCTTGGCAACGGGGAAGGGTGTGACCCTCTATGGGCTCCCCAGGGGATCGAGGTGATTCAGAGCCGCAGGCAGCCTGGACTGAACTTCTCCTCCCCATTCCCACCACCCTCCCCATCCCTCATCCCCAGCTATGGCCACTCTACTCTTTCCTGGCTCTGTCCCTCTCTGCTTTCCTTGTTGTTAAGAGTCTGCCCTCTACAGAAGGCAGAGAACTGTCTGTCTCATACTCCTCCTATCTCTTTGCATACACACACACACACACACACACACACACACACACACACACACACGTTTTGTGGTTATTGCTGAGTCATTTTTCAGTCATGTCCAACTTCATGACCCCATTTGGGGTTTTCTTGGCAAAGATCCAAGAGTGGTTTACTATTTCCACATACATGTGTATATATTTGTATGTGTGTGTATATATATATATATATATATACATATATTCACACACACATCTATACATATATATACACATAATTTGTAGTTGTCTGCATGTTGTCTGCGGCATTAGACTGTGAGCTCCCTAAGGGCAAGTACTAGGCTTTGCCTTTCTTTGTTTCTCCAGAGCTTAGCACAGTGCCTGGCACATAGTAGGTGCTTAATTAATGCTTATTGATGTTCAGACAGTGTCTTCAATATACATATTGATGTTCCCTCATATTCTCTGGCTTCTCGTTTCACTGACCTACCCCTTCAGTCCGGCTCAGTCCCACACCAGGACAGTCATGCTCCCAATCTCATCCCTACCCATCTGAGTTCCACCATCCAGGACCACACCTGCTCACATGCAGATCAACGAAGAAAGTGGGCAGGGGGATGGATGACAGAGAGGAACTGAGGCAAACAGGGGTTAACTACCTTGCCCAGGGTCACATAGCTGGTAATTGTCCTAGGATGGATTTGAACTCACGTCTTCCTGACTCCAGGCCCTGTGCTCTATCCACTGCACCACATTCTAATGTCTGCCAGTGATGGCTGACCTCACTCTTCCCAAAAGGAGAATCTGTGCAGCTCAGCCCCGCTGTCTGCCGTTCTTCCCTAGCAGGGCTGCTCGTGAGTAAACCAATGAATGATTGATTCGTTGGATGAATGAAAAAGTATTTAAGTGCTCACTCATTGCTGAGCACTTCCAGCCTGTGGCTTGTGTTCAGGGCTTAGCAGAGCACACAGTAGGCCCTTAGTAAATGCTTGTTTACTAGACTTGATTTATTTCCCCAGGGAGATAGTGAGGACCCGAGGACAGAGACTTTGCCTCCTCTCCTAGCATGAGTTGTATTCATTATTAATTGTATCCCTAGCACTTCGCACAGTGCTAGCACACAGTAGTTGCTTAATAAACGTCTATGGGATTGGATTAGATTAGCGGCAGCAATCTTCAGGGGTCCCCTTTTTCCAGCCCTGTAGCCATTATCCAGGGGAGCAATTCTGGTGCAGAAGGGGCCAGCCATGCCCACCAAATGTCACCTTCAGGGAAGATAAGCCCACGTAGGCACTCTGGTGGAGAGACAGGAGGAGGCCTGTGCCAGGGAGTCAAAGCACTGCCACCACCTCACCTGCCATCTCCCCCAGACCCCGATGTATCAGTCCTGGGAGCCTGCACCCTGAGTCCTGGGGAATTAACCCCCCAGCCTTCCAGTACTGCCTCCAGCCCAGCCCTCTGCAGCCATCCTCCAGAGAAATGACCCTCCCCCGCTCAGCAGCCACAGCCCCTGTAGACCCGCCAAAGAGAGCTTTCAAGACCCAGGTCCTCAGCACCATCAAATGGTTCAACATCAGAAATGGCGGTGATTCTCTCAGTGGAAATGACATCAACAGAGAAGCCTGACCGTCAGCCTTGTCGCTGACCCTAAGGGACTACCTGATATCAGAGTGCCTTCCTGAAAAGTGTCCCATCTCTAGTAGAATGTAAGCTCCTTAAGGATTTTTTGTGTCCCCAGGGCTTGGCCCATTGCTTTGCACTTAGTAGGTACTTAAAATAAATGCTTTGTCATCCATTTGTTCCTTACGGGATAGCTGATCCGTGGGGCATATAGCAGGCACTCAGGGAAGACTTAACTCTGTGGCTTAAGGAGGTCATGCAAAAATGATTATCCCTATTTCACAGGAAAGGAAACTGAGGCCCACAAAAGAGACTGACTTGCCCAGTGACTCTGCTAGGAAGTGTCTGGAGGCAGAACTTGAACTCAGGTCTTCCTGATGCCACCACTTCACATTGTCCCTCACCCCCACCCCAAGAGCCACAACTCTGTCCGTTGGCCACAATTTCTATTAGCCCCCAATCCCCTGAAACAGGTTGTAGTCATGTGTTTGTCCATGGGGTTTTCTTGGAGAGATACTGGAGTGATTTGCCATTTCCTACTCCAGTGTGTCCTCATTTTACAGATGAGAAACTGAGGCAAATAGGGGTCAACTGATTTGCCCAGGGTCTAGTAAGTATCTGAGGCTGGATTTGAACTCAGATTTTCAAATGGTGAATAGAAGGTCACAGGGGAACAAAAGCCGGGGAAAATGAGGAGTAGTGCCCACCCCCTTCCCTTCCACCCTCTCAAGGCATGGCAGGGTCTACCCAGCCTTGGGAGCCAGGCTGAGCGGCCTCGTGGGGTGACATCACCAGCCCTGGGCTGGCCGTCTGGGGCCACAATGCTAAGGCAGCACTTCCTGGCAGGGGAGGACGAGATTCCCAGGCGAGAGGCAAGGGATTTCCGGTCATTCTTCTCCACAATGCCTTGGATGGCTCTTGAAAGAGGACTCTTTGGTCCTTGGAAGGAGGGGCCTTTTTGTGCTAGTGTGGGCAAAGGTGACCATCAGTCAGGGCTGGAAGCCTGGGAGGCTATGGGCTCAGAGAGAAAGCCTGCTGGGGGCAGTGGGGAAAGGCCCGGGGGGACAAGCCCTCTCATTTTACAGAAGAGGAAACTGACACCCAGAGCGGTCAGGAGACCTGCTCAATTGGAGACAGGCACTGGACCCAGGTCTTTGGACACAACATTCAGTGCTCTTCTCTTCCCAAAGCTGCCTTCCAGGAGGAGGGGGAAGGAGGCAGGCATAGTCCTGGAAAAGTCGGGAGTGGGGGGTGGTTGGCTCTTTGTACCAGTGCAGGAGCCCCAGTGCCCGTCCTAGACAAAGCAGCAGAATCAGAAAGGAGCCCTTGGGCCCCACCTGCCTTCCCCTCTCCCTGGGTGGTCCCTGCCGATTTCATGCCCAGCAGTCCACGCGGTTAGGGGTAGTCTGCAGCATCCCTGGCAGCCCCTCTTTCCTA